TTTGATACAGCTCATGCCAGCAAAAGCAGAATTCACATACACACAGAGGCATTCAAAAATACACCAGTTTCATAATGACAACTTTGCAATATTAACCAGCATTCATAAATCGTAAAGACAGATTTCTGAAAACATCATACTAAGTAAAGATTAGATGCAGAGCCCCTCCCACAAAATATAGGTATATACATTTCTCAAAAATAGGTATTTTTAAAGTTACCCTAGTCCTCTGCTCCCAAACATCTGATGCTCTGGGTAGATTGAAGCTGTTAAGTTGTAAGGAAAATACCAATTTTATGTACTAAATTACCCAGTCTGTTTCTGAAAAATAAGATCTCCCAGTAGTCCTCTTATGTAGTTGATTGAAATCCAGTTGGTTAGTACAGTCCCTGGCAATTGGATTGACATACTGTTGAGTGTGTCCCTGGGATACATTGGATAACGCTATTCCAGTTCTGCCCTTTCTCTAACTATAGTATTGTAACTCCCTGCCAGGGAATCTGCAAATTATCTGTTTATCCTTCAGCAGGAGACGACAGAACTTGCAGTAGGTCCGTGTGACTCTAAGAATCCATCATTGTATGGCAGTGCTATATTTATGGGAGATTAAGCATTATATATTCTGATATGTAGATTAAAAAGGATAAAGCCTTCAGGAAGTATTATTTCAACCTGATTCACGTCAGCTACAAAGCCAAATCTCAGTGGCTTTGTTTAGTTAAACAGAGTTCAAATTCCACAGGGAATCGATGTGAAACCGAGAATGTGGCACAATTTGGATAAGACACTGAAAAAGCTAATAGTTAAATTAACTTGGTGTTTAAAAAACAAACCTGCCTTCCCCTGCACACACATTTTCTGTTAGTTCAATTTTTCATAACTCTTGTCATGTTGTGCTTGCTGTGGTATAAGTGCCTCTCTGGTTAGCTTAATCTTTCAGGGCAGCCTTGTGAAGCAAGCCTAGGTTTTTTATGTTTAATCTAGCCTGACAGATAAAGAGGATCGTAATAAATAAATAATCTGAAACCCATCTCTGTTTGTTTATTTAGAATGAAAACCTGGTCTTTTATGTGTTCAGTAGGGAAAAAAAGGCAATCATGATGTGCCCCCTCTGTCTGTTCTGTCCTGCGGTAGGGAATTTAGGGTAGAATGTAGGAAGGTGTCCACTCTACCCTTTTACGAGGATTGCTCACACTTCAGAAAAGCATTCCGCTCTGTAATTTGTAGAGGGAGACAGTTTTACAGTGATACCTGTATGGGGCAGAAAACAGTTACAGTTGGGATAATTTTTCCTCCTTTCTCTTCAGCTGCAGCATCAAATGGTTCACTGCAGCGTGATAAAATGCGGCATTACTCTGGGCAAGCCTTTGAAGGCTTGCAGTGCTTTAATTTTTCTCTGCAGCTTGACAAACAAACCATTTCCCCAAGTGAGGCGGCTGATGAGATAATTATACATATGGAAATAACTGGGGATGGGTTCCCACAGGGTGATCCCCACAAGGCTCTTTTCCTGAATTTTACTGAAAGATTCCATTAGATTGTGAAATCCCAGGACAGAAAAGGAACATAGGAACCTGCTGAAGAAACATTCTAGCTTTCCGGGAATTGACGCATACATAATCTTCAAACGCTGTCTTGTCTTTGATATGAAGTGGGAAGAGAAATGGCACCACGCATTGGAAGGAAGAATTATTTCTTTAGAGTTCCAGTTTATTTCTGGATTAGTGATTTTTATTATTTTTGCAAATAGATGCATGAAATGCAAGCACCAGCAGAGGCCAGAATTACATGATTAAGCTCTTCAGTAATATGCTAACCATATGAAACTTGTGAAATCATAAAAACATAAATAAAAAACAAACGTAATCATGTTCAATGTGGCTCTTATTGACTTGGTGTTAAGATCTCCAAGAAACTGGATGGTTTCTTAAACTTTTAGTATTTATCGTTGTTCAATTGATGTATAATCTCCTCTAAAGTTGCTAAACTAAGACGACCCACATGCCATTCAGTGACGTTAATTTGGTGTGCCAAAAGATTTGTTAGAAACTGGAGGTCAGTAATCGTGATTGCCTTGAGTATTGAAAACTTTATTATAAGGGGAGCTGGAAGCGACACCTATATTTAAGTTGCGTAACATTTTCTATTGTAAAACAATCTTCTGAGCTCTGAAAAGATCTAGCGCCAACATTGCTGTAGCAAGGGGAAGGCCCTCTGAGTCTGAAAACTGCCATTTCTTTGTCTCCTTAAATTCTGGTCAAGTTTTGCTGAGAGAGACACTCTTGAAAATTGCCATTCCCTTTTTCACTTCCATTCCTCATGAAAACGTTGGCAATCTGCTGAATACCTAAACATCAATCTTCTAGAGCAGCGGTTCTCAAACTGTGGCTCGGGACCCCTGTTTTAATGGGGTCGGCACGGCTGGCGTTAGACTTGCTGTGGTCTGGGGCTAAAGCTGAAGCCCGGGGGCTTCAAGGCCCAGGTGACAGGGCTCAGGCTTTGGCTTCGGCCCGGGATGGCAGGACTCAGGTTACAGGCCCCCGGCCCAGGGCTGAAGCCCTTGGGCTTTGGCTTTGGGCCCCCACTCAAAGTGGCGGGGCTCAGGCAGACTCAGGCTTCAATCCCCCGTCCTGAGGTCATGTAGTAATTTTTGTTGTCAGAAGGGGGTCGCGGTGCAATGAAGTTTGAGAACCCCTGTACTAAAGAATTACTTTCCTGGGAGTGCCTGGGAGCACTTAGCCCAGCTTCCCCTGACCATCCCTCAGACCCAGGGCTGCCAGGTGTCACACACATCACAGATCTGTCATACCTGCCCACAGCTCAACCGAAATGTCATGTGTAGAATCCAAGAGGGAAAGGAGATGCAGCAGCAGATGGCCTGGCTGGCAGGTCCCACACCCCAACCCCAGAGGTGCCACGTCCTCAGAGACCTTAACCAGCCTGTTCTCAACCAGCCCCCTAGCTGGATCCCAAACAGTTGCCCTCCAGATGGATTCCAACTATCAGTCTCCAGACAGCAACAATCCACCTATTGCAGTACCTACCCAAGCCCAACTGCATCCAGTACTTCTGCATCAGTACCCAGGAACCCACTAGACAACAACTGGCACATCAGCGACCCCAGACACTAAAACACCCACTCATCTACTACAGCATCCATGGACAGCCATCTATCCCCCACCACCATCTGCCTGAGCCTCAGAGCTGCCAGGTTTTGTGCAGATCCATGTCTTGCCACTGCTTGGGGAAGGGTGTATTGACCATATGCTGCCATTTATGGTTGTATGAAAATTATTTGCAATGTAAATTATTTGCTGAATTTATTTGCATAAAACTAGTTTTGCTTGAAATTTTCCATGTTCTGAAGATTAACTAGACCAGGGATCGGCAACCTTTGCCCACGGCCCGCCAGGGTAAGCACCCTGGCGGGACGGGCCGCTTTGTTTACCTGCAGCGTCCACAGGTTCGACCAATCATGGCTCCCACTGGCCGCGGTTCGCCACTCCAGGCCAATGGGGGCGGCGGGAAGCAGCGGCCAGCACATCCCTCGGCCCGCGCCACTTCCAGCAGCCCCCATTGACCTGGGACGGCGAACCGTGGCCAGTGGGAGCCATGATTGATCGAACCTGTGGACGCAGCAGGTAAACAAACCGGCCTGGCCCGCCAGGGCGGGCTGCGTGCCAAAGGTTGCTGATCCCTGAACTAGAACATCTCTCGAAGAAGAGTATTCTTCAAAAGGGATTTGACTTAATGATATTCTGCATTTTCAAATACAGCTTGTTCTTCCCTTTAAATGGCTTATCACTTCAGACTTTACACATAGGTAAATGTAAATGTTCATAGAATCACAGAATCTCAGGGTTGGAAGGGCCCTCAGGAGGTCATTTAGTCCCACCCCCTGCTCAAAGCAGGACCAATCCTTAAGAATGTTCTTAAGAATTTGAACATTAGATAAGTTAACTGTTTTTGTGGTGGGTAATTTAAATCCCACTGAATTTAAATGGGAGTTATAGGCCCGATTGTCATCCTAATGATGTCAGTGGTAGTTTTTGTAATTAATTTTATGGGGAGCAGAATTGGACACTGTACATGAATGTGAGCATGTTGCCCTCTGGCTGCAGTTTAGAAAGAACATAAAGCTATGTGATGCTAGGAAAGATTTTTGTAGCTCAAGTTTTTTTGGAGGTGAAGGATTAGGGTTACAGTCTCAGTTCTGCAGCTCTGTGTTTTATATAGCTAAGGCTGCAATACGTGTCATATTTTAAGGCTTTTTAAAAAAATCCCTCTTGTAGCTCAAAAGAAATAAGACCCTCATGCCTTCAATTTCTAATAGAAAATACAGCACTTACCAATTGCAGAAGCTGAGTTTATGGGAGCTTCACGGAGTTAGTCAGGCTTTGTAGGATTTAACTTCATCAATTAATTTTGAAAGATGCACAGTTGTTGTTATAAAGGCTGCAATAAAACAGTGAAAGGGTCTCATTAAACCAACACTAGAGATGTCTGCTGATGGACATCTTTGCTGTAAGCCGCCATTTTAAGTTATGTCCATAAAGTTTCCAGTGCCAAGTATATTTGACCTTAAATTAAATTAAAGAGCAACCTATTTCTGAAGTTGAAGCTTTTTATGACTTCTTACTTCCCGTGTCCTGCATCAGTATTACAGGGGCCTGAAATGAACATACACTGTTGAATGTCAGGTTACACCTGCTAACATGTTTCAAAGGAACCTTGAAGCAGATTTTAGAATTTGTAAACATTCAAGCTCAATGTAGCAGGCAAGTAATATGACAGAAACTGTTTGCGTATTACATTTCTGAGTGGGGTTGTCATGTCGAATCAGCAATAGGCCCTGAACACATGCAGACCTTCATTCTATGATTTCAAAAGTAGAATTCATGGAATGCATATTTCAGTGCATCAGAGACACAGGCTCTACCATCAGCTGTCATTCTCTTCATGTATGTAATGTCCACTTTTTATTTTGTTTCCTCTTACAGAACTATACTCAGTATATTCCACTATCCATCTATGACCTGCAGACTTGGATGGGCAGTCCCTCCATTTTCGTCTATGATTGCTCCAATGCTGGCCTTATTGTCAAGTCATTCAAGCAATTTGCACTACAGAGGGAGCAAGAGTTGGAGGTGAGACCAATTTGAATTGCCAAAATCTTCCTGTGGCTTCATTTCTCTCTCTGCTGGGCATTCGGGGTCTGATCCTGCTCCCCATTGACTTCAGTGGAGACAGGTTTGAGCCCGTTATGAGACAATAAATATTTTTTAAAAATGAGTTAAAAAGCAAGTTAATTTGGAAAAAATCGTGTCACTCCAGTGCAATCTTTCTGGCTCTGTATGCCATTCTGTTATAGTCAGAATCATTTTTATTGCAAGTACTAATTAAGTGATAACGCTAATAGAATCAGGTTTCAGAGTAGCAGCCGTGTTAGTCTGTATCCGCAAAAAGAACAGGAGTACTTGTGGCACCTTAGAGACTAACAAATTTATTAGTTTGCATGTATGCATTCGAAGAAGTGGGCTGTAGTCCACGAAAGCTTATGCTCTAATAAATTTGTTAGTCTCTAAGGTGCCACAAGTACTCCTGTTCTTTTTGCTAATAGAATCAGTTTGTGCCTTAATCTTTGCTGCTGAGATGAATGCTGAGGTGAAGCAGAGCCATTTATTTTAGATGCAATAGACCAATACAGATTTGGATTCCAGTAGTGTTTCTTGCTGTTGTACCGAATGCATAAATGTTAAACTAAATGATTTAAAACTGATAGACAAAAGGACCTATTGTTGATCACTTTAACTTGACAGAATACAAAAGTGTAACCTTGTGTTTCTAATGAAAAGACACTTTTCATTACAGTTTTAATTAGAATTTATTGGAGTAAATATGGATTGTGAAGAGAAATATATGAAATAACTTTAAGGTGCTTTCCCTTTGTGCACTAGATGCTTAGTGCAGCAGTGTGTCAGAAACTGGATGTTGTAGGCAAGCAGGTGCGTGATTGGGTGTTCTCCCTAAGCGTTAGCCCATTTGAAAAGCAGCCTGTTAAAGATTCGTTTCTTATACTTCCATAGCACTAAGTCAAATACTTTTAAAACTTCAGTATGTTTAACAGGGAATATTGGTCACTCAGGCAACTGGCTGGTGTTACAAACATGATGCCATGACACTTCTTGAGGGTGTGCTTGGTTTTAATTTTCTTAAATAGAATGAACCCCAGTGTTGAATTTTGCAGTGACTGTCTGGCAAGTAGAGACTCTCTCTTTCTCTCTTAAAGAAACATGCCAGTCTAGTAACAGTTTAAGACAGTTAGGTCTTCTCATCATCCCATCTCTTTATAAGTAACGCTACCAGTCAGTGTACCAGCGTTTGCAGGTTCCTCACCAAGGAAGGACGTGACACTGAAAGGCCCAGATCTGTATTGGCAGAGATGTGTGTGGAGCGTTTTTTCAGAACAAAAAATGGAAAAAGTTGCCATTATATCCTGTGTTCCTCTCATCCTGTAGCTTTTTTTATTCTGCTGCTTGTAAGCCTCACATCTCTCATGTTTGTCTTTCAGCCATCACTCACCCTGCCATATTTACTGCTGCTTTGTTTTTCCGTGTATAGATTCTGTCCTTCCGGGTGTTCTGTTTTTCTTTCTTCTTCTTCTTCTCTCTTCTCCCAGAGCACAAGCATAAACTAATTTAGAAAGATGCCTCACTCCAGCTCTTTTCTTTCCCCAGTTCTCCTTTGGTTTTCCTTACCTCCTCTTCCCCTGCATTTCTCTCCCGACTCTCGGTTCTCCTTTGCTGCCGTTGGGCCCTAGGGTGACCTGAAGCTATTCTGGGCATTAGGGTAGTTACTGTTCTGGGTAGGTGAGATGGCTGGTGTGCACTGAGGGGACAGACAATGCCAAACTGCTGTTGGGTGTTGAGGGGGTTGCTGCTCCGCCGGACCTTTCAACACTGCAGTACCATGGCAGCACAGGTGGTTGGCTGGGCAAGCGCATGGGACCATGTTCCTAGGAGCTCGAGTGAAACTGGGACAAAACTCCAGAATAATAGAGTGGGCTCAAAGACAACGGCTATCCTTCCAAACCAGGATATCCGGTTGTCATACGCAAGTTGTTGAAACAACCACAGTTGGAAAGTGTAGTCTCTGCTATCCAACAAAAATGCAAAAAGTTTGACTGGCTTTCAGGATTTTTTTCCTTCTGCCAAAAACTTGAAAACCCAAACAACAAAAGTGTCTTCAGATGACTCCTCTTTAACTGACAACTTTCTCTCTGTACTGTAATTTGTTATTTAAACATTTTATTTCCCAGGTTACAAGTCCAACTTTTCTGTCCCTGGTATCTTAAGTACTCTAGGTGTGTGGTGAGCACTGCTGAGGACTAGTTTACTAAGGGAACTGTTTTTTTAATTTTATACAAAGTATTCAGAATAGAAGACTTTCATACATCCTATTTAGAAAAATATAATACCTGCAGTTTCTTACATATTAAATTTTAATTCTGTATGCAGAAGATAAAAGTAAGAATTAAAATAAAGATTATTTCAGGTGGCCAATTGGTGATGGTGTCATTTTATATTATGTTTTGTAATTAGCTTAGTTTTTATCTTGGTGCTATTTTTAATTAAGAGTTTGTTTTTCCACTAAGTTTAATGTTGTTGGCTATTGTTCAGATAGTCCACTGCATAAATAGCGGATATTAAAAACGCAAAATCTGTTCATAGTTAGTATCGCAAAACATTTGTTAATTTCAGTACATATTGTGATTCCACTTTTGAATAAAAATTATTCAATACATTGAGGACTGAAAACGTGAGCTGCATTCATTTGTTGCCTGTTAAAACTATTTATATATTTGTGTCTTAAAAAAAATTGACCTACTAGATTATAGACTCATGAAATATTTGACATACTTTTTTTGTCTGTGATAGTAACAGAGATTAAGGGATGACCAGATGGTGTGTTGAGCTAGAAGATCAGAGGAAATGGTATACATAGTGCTTAAAAAAAAAAAATGAAAAAAGTAGAAATTTGAAATAAATAAATGGACAGACCACACAGCCTTCTCTATGAAACATGAATGTAGTCATGAGCTCCTGGGAATACCCTCTATTTCAGGATATAGTCGTTACTTTTACATTTCTTTTTTAGTGCAAATTCTTCTTGCTGAACGTTGGTTATATTTGAGATTGTCTGAGGATTTCAGATATTTATACTAAAATTTCATTTATTTACCAAAACATTTTCATTGACCCAGAGCTTCCTACTTATTCACACTGTTCGACAGTGTAGACATGTGTTTATTATTGATTCACTCTCCCGTTTTCCTCTTATTGTTTGTCAAAATTCATTGCCTCTTGTCTTAAATTAAATGCCAGTTGTGCAATGAGCTGTGTGTAGGTGGATCCTTGTGCAGCGCCCCAATGAAGTCAGTTGGGCTCTGTATGGCTGCAGGGGTCTGCCTACACACAGCCCACTGTAAGATTGATTTTCAGAGATCATGCCACCTGGTGTGTTTGTGTAGGGCCCAGCATATTGTGGCTCCAGTACTGACTGACTGGGATCTTTGACCAATATTGTAATGTAAATATTACACACACACACACACACACACACACACACACACACACACACACACACACACACACACACACACACACACACACACACTAT